AAGGGTTCAGCCCCTATATTTTTTGAATTTTATTTTCCTTCTTCCTTTTCTTCTCATGAATATGTTGATTTTCTATACTTTAATATGAAATTTATACTTTTCTTATGAAAACCATGAATAATTATTAAAGAAATATGGTTATGGTACCTAAAGAACTACCCTAGGATCTTATTTTTTAACATAAAAAAATTCATCGCCTAGGCGAGCTCACCTGGGCGCCTTGAAAACTATGGTAGAGAGAAGGGAAAAGGTCTTTTAAGGCTGAATTTCCCACCTAGACATCTTCCCAAAAGAGAACAGAATTCCCTAAGCAAACATCATACCTAACAAAATTAAGAAATTGGGGAAGGATGCTATGAATCGCTTTCCAAGGAGTTGTCAAAGTAGCCCGTCAAGAAACACCAACATCCCAGCCATTGTTTGAGCGACCATGAATGCTAGCTATCACCTCATGCCACAACCTCCCTCTTTCCAAGGGCCATCTCCACAGCCACTTACCTAACAAAGTTGTATTCTTCAAGACCAAATTTCCTAGCCCCAATCCACCTTCTTCCTTACTTCTACACACTATATCCCACCTTATTAAGTGATCCTTCTTCTCTTCCCCTGGATCCCATAGGAAATTCCTCATTAGCTTCTCCAATTTCTTTGCCTCCCTAGAGGGGATTCTAAAAACAGAGAGATAATAAACTAGCAAGCTAGCTAGGGTGGCTCTTAAGTCTTAACAACATTACTCTACCTCCTAGAGAGATATAGCTAACATTTTTTCAAACTTCTCTAGGATTGGAGTCCAAAAACTGCTTTCCTTCGGGTTAGCACCTAAAGGGAGCCCAAGGTAAGACAGAGGCCAAGAAGCCACTTGACAATTTAAGCACTTAGCAACAAACTCAATGACCCCTTCATCCAAATTTATTCCCACTACACAGCTCTTACCCAAGTTTATTTTTAGGTTAGAGACACTTTCAAAGTAACTTATCAAGCTCTTTAGATTCCTCACTCTCCGTAGGTTGCCCCCTTCATTGAAGATGATGATATTATCCGCAAATTGGAGATGGGTAACCAAGACATTATTCCTACCTATCCCCCAACCTTTTATTACCTCCTCCCTATCAGCCTTAGAAAGTAATCTACTGAGAACATCTGCTACAAGAGTAAACAGAAAGGGGGAAAGGGGGTCACCTTGCCTTAGTCCCTTAGTAGCAGGAAAGAAATCCTTTACCCCACCATTTACCAACACTGAAAAATGACAGGAGCTGATGCAACCCTTCACCCACTTACACCATCTATCACCAAAGCCACAGTTCCTAAGAATCTCTAAATAGAAACTCCAATCCACTAAATCATAAGCTTTCTCAATATCTAATGTACAAACCACCCCTTGTTGGCCAGACCTCCTCATTTCCTCCACGCATTAATTGGCTATTAAAATTTGATCAGTTATCTGTCTTCCCTACACAATGCCCTTTGGGCTTGACTTATTAATTGGGTTAACACTGCTTTTAGCCTCAAGGACAAAACCTTAGCCAAAATTTTGTAAATACCCGTCACCAAATTAATTGGCCTGAAATCTTTGGGGTGTCTTGTATCTAACTTCTTAGGAACTAGGGCTAGAAAGGTGGCATTAACTCCAGGCTCACTATATGTTTATTTGCAAATTCCTTAAAGACTCTGAAAATGTCTTCTTTTACCACATCCCAACAATCCTAATAAAAAGCCATTGTAAACCCATCCGGACCAGGAGCTTTTGATTTGTCCATTGAGAACACCATCTGTCTAATCTCCTCTTCCTCAAAGTCTCTTTCTAACCAGCTCACTCTTTGCTCACATAATCTAGGCCAATCGATTCCCTCCATCTTGGGTCTTTATCCAAAGGTCTTCTTAAAAGAGACTTGAAATGGTCCACAAACCTCTTGGATATTTCTTCCTGTTTTGTAATCTCTTCACCATCAAGTTCTAATTTGGCAACAAAATTCTTTCTCTTTCTCCCATTAGCCAAGGCATGAAAGTACTTTGTATTCCCATCCCCTTCCTTTATCTACTTATGTCTTGATTTTTGCCTCCAAGAGATTTCTTCTCTTAAGAGGACCTCTTCCAAGTCCTTTAAATTTCGTCTCAACTCGCTTTCTTGCTCATCCATATTCCTTTGGGATTCTTTATTATCAAGTTCCTAAAACCGAGACAACAAAGAAGCCTTATGTTCCTCTACTCTCCCAAAGTGATCTTTATTCCACTCCTTTATTTTGGATCTAAGCCTTTTTTTAGCTTTTTATGAAACTTGACTCCCTTCCACCTTACCCCCCTCAACTCCTCATTCCACCATTACTCAACCCTATGCACAAAATCATGGTGGGTTAGCCACATGTTCTCAAATCTAAAGGGCAAGGTCCACTTCCTAAGAGTTCCGGGCCTAACTTAATGGGACAATGGTCAGAGATTACTCTAGGCAAGGCTCTAGACACCAAATCCCTCCAATGATTTTTCCCACTCTTCATTAAAAAGGAATCTATCCAATTTCGAACAAAGGGGGTTTTCCTAAAAGTTGGACCAAGTGTAATTGGCTTACAATAAGGGTATCTCCTTCAAAGCACAGGTGTTAATGAAGTCATTAAACTTTCTCATACTAGAGGTAAACACTTCGAGCGTTATTCGACTCATTACAAAATCTAATGACATTGAAGTCCCCCCCCAAACACCAAGGGCCATCCCATAAACCATTAATTCCATTCAATTCCTCCCACAAGTCATTTCTCTCTCTATAATTATTTGGCCCATATATATTCGTTGAGACCCAAGTAAATCCATCATCCAAGTTTTTAAATTTCAAAGACACAGAAAACCTTCCAATGAGTTCCTCAACCGATCCCACCACATCCTCTCTCCATAGAGTAACTAGACCCCCATAAGCTCCCCAGGAGGGAGCCGAGGTCCACTTCACTCCTCTTGATTCCCACACACTTCTAACCCACCTTCTGTCTAACTCTGCTAGTTTGGTTTCCTGTAGCAAGACTATATCAGGTCTCTCTCTCCTCAAGAAATCCTTAATCACCCTTCTTTTCCTTGCACTCCCCAAACCTCTCACATTCCAACTAATAATCTTTCATTAAGCTTCACACAAACAACAGCCCCTCTTCAAAACCATAACTCCCTTAAAGGGGGGCCTTTCTTCTCTCCCCTCTGCTGCTGAACTCAATATCTCCCTCAATATCAGAAATCAATCTCTCCACCTCTGATCTCTTTTTCTTTTTGGATTTCCTTTTCTGCTCCTCCTTTTTTGTTGACTCACCCACACTTGTCAAGTAATCTCCAGCCTGAACTCTAGGAGGTTGTCCTTTCCTAGTTGGAGTAACCTTCCCATCCTCCACTTCAGTTTTATTAGACCACTCTAACTCCTCTTCCTTTTTCTTATACTCTTTGCCTCTTTGGAATGTGTTTTGCCTTCAGTAATGTCTATACAACAGAGAGCAGCACACCAAGACAAGCCATTAGTCACTAAAAAAGGGTTAAGGCAAGTTATTCAAGATTTACATCGTTCGTCTTCCAAATTCTATGATAGATTAAGAAGGTTAGTGCTGAGGTTATCAAATCTTTAGTCCATGCATATAAATTCATAATTGTCTGCCCTGCCAAGCTTTTCAACACTTTGTTGCCAAAAGAAAGCAAAGTTTCAGATTTGACCACATTATAGCTCTGTCTTTTAAATGGATTGAAAGAACAGTATGATGACAGTGCATTTACATAAGTTTGGCTAGACAAATTAGGTTTGTTAATGCTGGAAAAACCCATTTGCAAAACTTAAAGAATGTAGTGTAAGCAACAGTAGTAGGTATTAGAAATTAGAAATTAGAACATAGAATATTATTAACTCTAATGTTGTTCATATTTCTCTCCTTCTACTAACAAAAAATAATATCATTGAAACTTATTGGGGTCTCTTTAAACTAAACAGATAAAGGCAAGCACAAACCAAACCTTACTTAAACCAACATCAACTAATGTTCCCTTGGAATTTGCAGGTTTCTCTTTCAACGTAATACCTGCAACAACATTGTTATACTTAACAATGTCAGTAATTACATAACTAAAATAAATTTTCAGGAAATAAATATATAATTCATTAAGGAAAAGCAGTTAGGTGCATAACAGCAAGCCCTATAAGCATCTACTTAATCAATCAATATACAGTAAACATAGTACAGAAGATTCAACTCAATACTGACACATCAATGATAATTAGGATCTAGAATTCGGAATAAGGTACATAGTTATAAAATCTCTACTACATAATGCTAAAACTTGGAGGCAATCTCATGTCAATGCAATAGCCATCTGCTGCAAAATGTACAAACCACAATCTTTTTTTTTTTTGGTTTATTGATACAAGTTCAATGCACACACCTCTTCACTAGTATACTATAAGGCCAAAAGTTTTGTTGAACTGGTCACTCAGAAATGCAAATGTTGAGATGGATAAGTGGTTAAACTGTGGACAGGATTAGAAATAAACTTATATGAAGAAACCTATGAGTAGCTCCAATGGGTTATAAAATGAGGGAAAGTAAATTAATTGGTCATGCGGAGAAGACCATTTATGGCACTAAGAAGAAGTGATCTATTACAAGTTGAAGGAGCTAGAACAGGGGGCAGGCCAAAAAGGACATGAGTTGAAGTAGTAAGAAACAATTTACGGGCTCAAAATGTAATGATGGATATAGCACCGAACATAACAGAATGGTGAAGCAGTATTCATGTAGTCCTCATAGTTGGGATAAGGCTTAGATGATGATGAGTTGCTCAAAAGAGGTCATGCTTGCAAATTCCAGAAAAGAGAAGGAAACCAAGACAATTTCCCCAACATCTTCACAGTACAGGAAAGCTTGGCTAAGTAAACATGGATGGGGAAACTATTAAACTTATCTTGTCCGTCGCAAGGTGGTCTTGATCATTTAGTCTTATTTCCTCACTCCTTTTCTTATCAGAAATAGTAATCAAGATGCTATTGCACAAAGAAGAAACCCCAATATTCCCAAGTTTTTGGAATGAGAGGAATTTACACATCCAAAGGATGACATTTAACAACAAAACCCAAATCAGCATAGCATCAAGGATTTACACATTAGTCTCTGGGCCAGGTGCCCCCACATCAAATCTTCCCTGTTTCCTCAGTATGTTTGGCTTCACCACAAAACATGGGATCATTTACTAGAAGGGATAGCATAACCACAAAACATTGAAAGAAATTCATCTTCCTGTGCATGTGACTGTAACTTCCCTAATGAGCAAGTATAAAAAGCATGGGAAAAAATAAGAAAAAAGAAAATGCACCTTCCCGATAAGGAGCCCATTCATGCTTGCGCAGATGGTGAGGAGCGTCAAGAGGTGGCAACAAACCCTGAAAAATGTAATAGAAACAACAATCACTTGGTGCAAACTATAAACTGAAAAATATTATACTATGACAGTTGAATGAAACATGGTTTACAAAGACTAGGTTCGTACCACAAATCTTAAGCTGTTATGCCTAGGAAAGAGATTCCGTCTTAGATACTGTGGTGTCTCAAGATATTGCAAAATCCTTATAAGAAAGGGGGCACCACTTTCAGTACTGTCCATGTCATTTGCTGTTGTAACAGTGGAATCATCTGTCGAACTACTCTTACTATCAAACACTACCACCTGTTTGTACAAGATTACAACAACACGGCTCTTGTAAGCTAGCTGTGAATTCCCAAATCTATGTTCCGTTATAAGCTCAATGACAAACTTGAAAGTACATCAATAAACAAAACTCGAAAATTCAATTTAAGATGAATCAAATAATTTAGTGCTAATGCTACCCCATCAGAATTTTCTAATAAGGAACTTTTTATTGAAAACTAATAAGGAACATGTTAATGGAACTCTTTTATGTCCCAGCTTAAAAATACAAAAGGGAGAGAAAAGGGAGAAAGATACTAGAGAGAGAGAGACCAATAACTAACTGGGATACTAACCTCATCGATTCGGAAAATAGTTGCAGCCCGAGCTATCTGACCAGCCAACTAAGAAAAAATACGAAATTATAAATAACGTAAGGATGATGAACAAAGCTCCAGAAAATCAAGAAAAAAGGTTCATATAGAACTTAAAGAAAACATAAGAGATTACTCGAGTTGCGAGTTCGAGCGATTGTGCGTTGTCGATGATGGAGCCAGGCACAGCGATGCCGACTGTAGGTGTCTCCTTGCTCTTGTTCTTCTCCTTTTCCTTCTTCTTCTTTTTCTTCTTATTCGCTTCGCCATTAACGTGCCCGACCTCCCTTTCTTCTCCATCATCCGCAACTGCTTCTTCTGCGTCTCTCCTCTTTTTCGCCATTGTCTCTGTAGAGCTCTGTTTGCTTCCAAACCTCTTCAACTGGGGTGAAAAAACAATAAAAACTGGATTAGCCTTCACTCTTCAGCAACGCCCCGTTAGGGGGTCTTCAGAGTTGGAAATATTCTGTGTTTCTTGCTCTACCATCTTTCTCGTGCTTTAAAAGATTGAATGGTTGGATAGCACTCAGATGGGTCAGATAATCTGTCGTCAACGCAATTTAACCTTGATAGAACGACTTTCATCTGGTCAGGATTCAGGAATAGGGAGGGTGATCATTTCTAGACCGGCCCGGCTTGGCCAGGCAGGCCAAGGCTTAAGCCCTTATCTTAAGTGTGAAGCCCAGCCCAAACCCATAATCACCCCTTCAGTGGGTGTCCCTGGGAGTAGGTGAGGTAGGGTTTCGAGCGAAATGAGATAGAAAGGTTTAGATTTATTACAGATTTTTTTAAGAAAAAATAGACCATCTTTTAAAAAAGAAAAAATAGGAATTCAAGGATTATCACATAGTGATCCTTAACATTTTAGTATGATATTAGAGTTTTGGGAGGGGTCAAGGATAAACTTAGCGTGTATTTTGTTCCGTGGGCATTTCATGATAGGCATTTATCAAAACGTTGTCATGTTATCGCCAAATCAGCATTTTTTTATCATATTCATTCACATGCATTAATATTCACAAAAGTGAGTTTTGATTTATATGCACATCAACCGTTAGAGAAAGCTTCATTTTATCGCTCCCCCCCCCCCCCGATGGTTGAGCATTTATTCATTATTCTGCTTATGTGGTGCTTAGTGGCACCTAGTTGTCCATAAATTATTTATCAATTACTTTTTTTGGTTTTGAAGACAAATCAAATACAAACATTTATTTAATAAATGGAAGCTATACCAAACACATACTTAATTAGGCTTATGATCTTGCCTCCACACACTCAATTAGGTTCTGTCCCAAAATTGAGGTAGAAACAGGGGTGTCATTTGGACTTGATTTGGTCCTATCCGTTCAGTCCATTATAAATGGACCAGGTCCAATCCAATCCAATGAATATTTTGGATCATTTTGGACCGGTCCAATTTAATGTATGGACCATCCAATATGTTCAAATTCATTTTGATTTAGATTGGTTTAAACCCAAACCTGATCCATTGACACCTATATTCTTATCTTATATCAATGGATCAGGTATTGGCTTAATCCAACCCAATCCAATATAAATTTATTACAGACTGACCAGGTTCAATCCAATATGTCTTGTTGGTCTATCCTTTTTTTTAATGCAGCATTGGCACTGTGAGTGAGAAAATTTGGCATTGCTTTTTTTTTTTTTTTGATGCAGCATTGGCACTGTCAATAAGTGCAAATACTACCAAATATTATATCATATAGGATTGTCAAATATAATTCCAAACAAACAAAAGAAAAACCGAATAAGGCAAAATTTGTATACGTTTCAGATTTGCACTACAAACTGATGGGGCTTATCAAATAATCAAAATAATATTATAACCAAAGAGGTATCCATCTGAATACGAAAGCATGAGATCAAACCCAAATAAATGCCAGCTCTATGTGGTAAAATCAGTTGACTTCACATGGTAAGTAGCAGTTCAAAATAAGTTTTTGCTCTTATAATAAAGAATGACCAAATTCAACAATAAGGATATTTTAATCAATAAAAATCACAAATGTAGACCTCATTCTTACTTTTAATGGTAGTATAGATTAATTAAATGAACTAAAATTGACTTTGATATTATATATCATGAATCAAAATAAACGGATGGCATTTTCAAGGATACTTTAGGTTTGATCATGGATAGTGTTTGGCTTATGGTTGAGTTGGACTCGGGTGCCACATGTCATTTCTATGGCCGCCTTATCACTTCAACCACGTCGGCACCATGTCATTAGATAAACACAACCAGGACAGGAGAGCATCATATAAATAAAGAGGATAGCTCTACCGGGGGTTAGGTCTTATCGTGAAGACCTCGGCGGGCAACTTCATTTCGACAACCCCCGGAAGCCTCATCCAAATTGGACATGGATCTTTGGCTATAAGTAGGTAATCCTCGCTCGAGGTAAGGGACTTTTGACTTTTAGCACCCATGTTATTACTTTGCTCGGACCAATAATGTTCTCTCAACTGCTCGGCTTGACCACCAATCATTCTCTTCACTAATTTGAGTGTCGGAGTACTTACCCAAGGAATAATTCATCGGGCCTCTAACCACTTTCTTGGTTTCAGATCTTGGAGCGCGACTTCATCCTTTCACCTTGACTCCACCCATTTAGCAGGATTATCTAACTGTAACATCGATTCAAGAAATACCTTGGATCGAGCATCATCAAATAGATTGGGCCTTCCAAGGATTTGCAAAACAGCATAAAAGATTGCTCAATCAACCAAGTTTTTTTTGGCAAACTGATGGTACATTAGCTTGAAGTTGAAGCCTATAAAAGTTCGTAAGATTGGTATGTGTGCGCAATCACATTTATAGGTGTTGAGTGGACAATGATATAAAAACCTATGTTCAATTTACCCATAATTCACCCAAAATGAAGAATTAAGTTGGAATTCAGGGAACAAGATTTAGCATCAACAGGGAGGGGTTCACATGTCAAAGGTTCAGTCAAGGTCGAATGTATATATATGTATACATCCATAAATACATACATAATATTAATTACATAAATATATACAAAATATATAATTATATTCTACTACAACATATTTTATTATAAAATTAATTTTTAATAAAAAAAGGATTCGGTGATAGAAAAAGCATATTTGACACAAACAGCAAGGTAAAGACGCTTCTGGCCCCTTATCATCACATAAACCCTAAAAAGTTGTCTAAAAAAATCGCCCCAAATGGATAACTTAGCGCAAACTTGTGACCTTTGGATTTTGGAAGTTCGCATCTGAGTTATAAAAAATTTCAAAAAAATTGATGTATTTCCTACAACTAGGATCAATTCACTAGTTTTCCAGTTGGACCAATCAGACGACGATTCTGTTCGGTACTTTAATTTTTGACATATTCTAATTTTTGGAGTATGACCAAATTAACTTGCCAAGGGCCCAGGTCACACAATTCAACCAATTCGACTAGTAGGTCAAATGCAAATTTTTAAACATTGAAAGATCTCTTTATCAAGTTGGATAGACAGTAGGGATGCAAACGGATTGGATCAGATTTAATTATTTTCATCATATATATATATATATATTATAAAAATAAATAATACAAAAATTACAAAAATTCAATATAAATATATTTATAAAAAAATAAGTAAGATGTATATAAATAAATAAACAATATATATATATATATATATATATATATATATATTCGGATAAGATAGGGGATGATTCAAATTTGATCCAATTTTTTTAATCAGATTATCTGATCCGGAAATCCAACAAGAGTATATCCAAATCCAACCAAATAAGATCAGATTTTGGATCATATCGGATCATGATTCAATCCATTTGCATCCTAATAGATAGGGGTCAATAGGCAAAATTCAAGTTGTCCATCCAGCACCCCCGGTTCTCATTAGTCTCCATGATATTTGCCTAGTTCTATCCTTGTTTTAGGAGGAATATGTTAATGTTTTCAACTTGCAGGCAATCCACTCAATCTGGCCGATCAGCCCATCACTTAGCCAGATTTTCAGGTCTATTCCACCTCTAAACCACTTGTAATAAAAACCTATTGTCTTACCAAATAACCCAATAATCGGTCAGGTTGAATCACTTGACTTAGTAAATAGATCACAAGTTAGACATTTGTTATTTTTTCCATTTTCTTATATTTTTAATTATTTTTCATCATATAAAAAATAATAATTCTTATTTATCACAATTTTTTATATAATAAATGTGTAACATTAAGGGCATTGACAATCTTGTTTTAAGGGGAATTTGTCTAAAATTCACCATGACTTTTCAGCATTTATCTTAAACTCACAATAACTTTTCAAAACATATTCATGGAACCCCATGTCATTAACTTGATATTAAATAGACTAATAAGTGTTAGTAGATTACCATTTTACCCTTTGTTATATTCGACCATTTTTTTGTAATAATATTTGACCCATTTTTCAGTATTCCAGAAGTACCTTGTTATTATTCGTTCCAAAACCCATTTTCAGCTTCCTTGGAAGTTGGAATACTTTCAAGGACAACTTTTGTCAATGAGTAACAATAGTACTCTAACGGATGGTGGGTTTTGGTAAATAAAAACTCATTAACATGTTGTTCCTTGGATCTTTTGAAAAGTTATGGTGAGTTTAAGAAAAATGATGAAAAGTTTTGGTGGGTTTTAGGCAATTTCTCTTTTTCAAATTTTGTATAATTTATCTATTTTTACATTTTTATTGAATTTGTGACATCATAATTTAACCCATTGGTCCTCATGATTGAACTTGAATCAGTGAGGTAGCTAAGTATAGTAGCACACATCCAATCGATCAATTTTGGTAGTTTCCTCACTAGTCCACTTCTATGGGAGAAGAAATGGAAACAAAATAACTTATCAACCAGGTGCAAGGTTCATAGTGTTTGGACAGTGTCTTATCTGGTCGAAGCTACCACATGGTTCCTTTCATAACTGACGTCTTGGGACCACATCAACACTCTTTTAAGAAACCATGTTGCCAAGGACTTCACAAGGAAGTAAAATCCCACACGGACAAGGAGATGTGCAGGGAGGCGAAGCCTCCCGAAAACCTTGATGAGTGGCCTCTTCCCAATAACCCCACAAAGAGCTTGTCTGACTACAACACAGACACTCATCTATTTAAAGGCATTTCCTCCTCAAGTTAAATGATCTTCAATTCCCTTAATGCCCTAACTCTCTTGCTACCTTATTGCTCTATTCAGCTTGGACCAACTCGCCCTCTAAAGCTCAGTCCAACTGACTTCACCCTCTTGCTACTAACATGAGCGTCAAAGTGTCTTATGGGGATTGTCTTCTCGGGCCTCTGATCATTTATCTATTTGCAGATCTCTTCGGTGCACGACTTCGTCCTTCTAATTCAATTCTATCTAGTTGGCATGATCTCATCTCTTACATGTTTGGTTTGGCACATATTGGA